GGATTCAGTGAATGCTGCCGAGGATCTGCCACATCAGAGGGCTGAGACATAACCTCCCCTTCATTCCCTGTGAGCAAGGTCCTTCCTAGCAGCGAGCAGGCAGTCTCCCGATGCAGGAGATGCTGCCTGTGAGCAGGGTCCTTCCTAGCATCGAGCAGGCAGTCTCCCAATGCAGGAGATGCTGTCAGAGAATGGCAAGCAATAACAAGGCAACTGAAGCATGCTAAATGGATTCACATTGACGGCACCTATCATTCCACTTAGCAGAGCGGAGGTTTGCTAAAGAGATGGGAGTTGAACTGAGTCCAGACAAGGAACAGAACTGGTCCATTAAAAAAAGGAGCATGGGTGTTTCAGGCAGGGGAACAGTGTGTGCCAAGGCCCTGTGGCAGGAGGGTTCTCTAATTAGTGTTCAGCTAATAGGAAGGATGCCAGGGAGCTTGGGGAGTATAAAACAATGAGATGAGAGAGTCTGTACAGGTTTAGAGCATCACCTAAACCCTGGCCCTCCATTCTGGTTAAAAGGGAATCAATTAGACCATCAGAGCCGCAACACCCTGGGATTTGTTTGGAGTTGCTGGTTCTTCATTTAAAAAAATCATTTTTATCTAACTCAATATATCTAAAATATTAACACCTCCGCCTGCAAAAAAATATAAGTGTTTGCATTCTGTTTTTTCCTTCACTGGGTCTTTGAAACTCAGTGAGTATGATTTGAGTTGCAGACCATCTCTGTTTGGAGCAGCTGCAGTTCTAGGCCTTAGAGGCCACATTTGGCTCCTGGCTACTCTATTGGAGGTATGAGGGTCGGTCTAACACTTATGACCTCCTCAAGGTCAAAAGTAAAGGCTGAAAGCATCACCAACCTATATCCATCCACAGAAAAGGGCAAGGCCTAAGGGGTGCTTGATTCTGAGGCCCTCAGTTGACTAGGCAGATGTTGGTCATCAGGGCTTAGTCAATGGAACAACACAACCCAGGAGATCCACAGGAAGATGGGCTGAGGAATTTCATAGTTTCCCTCAGACATCTGAAGTGTGAGATGCTCGTGGCTGACCCTGGGGAGGTCCTCAGTTGGCCAACAGTGGGATAGACACAGGTGCAGTTCCATAAAACAGGACAGGGTAGATGTGTGTGTCTCAGCACCATCAGACCAAAGGGAGGAAGGCAAGGGGTGGGAACAACAGGGGAAGAAAGAGGGTGGGGGCGGCCCTGTAGTGCTCAATATTACCTGGAGCACCTGCTGATGGGCTGTGAGGGAGGCAAAGGCAGAACAAGTAGAGGAATGAGAGAGAACTTGTTCTGGAGCTCAAGCAGAGACAGTGCTTTGGAGATGAAGGCTCCGACCATGGCCGTCCAAGTCAACAGCTATATAGTAGTCAGATCTACCTGGGCCGGAGAATTAGCCAAAGGAGCAGGAGGCAGGGAAGATACAGGGTTCCTCACGAGAGCAGGTGGTCCTACAGATGCTGTACACTCCCCTCGACCTCACCTGCAGAAATTCTGGACCCTCACCTTGGCACATTTTTCCCTGACCCATCTGCTCAGACTCTATTTCCTGATGCTCCCAGCTCCCTTCACCATGGAGGATCACACTTTCTCTGGTTGATTTGAACTCACATAACATTTGCTTTGTTTCTGAATTAGTCAGTGGACTAGGACTAAGTGTTTGTTGAAAAGGTGGATTAATAGAAATGAGCTATGTAAACTCACCCAGAATAGGACCAACTGTCACACAAAGTGTGGTGCTTAGCACTGGCAGCAACTGATCTCTGAAGAGCATGGCTGTCTGGAAACAGGAGCTCAGGGGAGCCGAGGGCTGATGAGGTGCATGCAGCAAGGCTGGGTTGGCCCAGAGCCAGGTCATTCTGGGCACAGCTCTGTCCTGAGAGGCACGACCTTGAGCAGAGGCATGACCTTGAGCGAAGCACTTCACTCCTCCAGAGAATAGTCTCTTCCCTGTGCGATGGGACAGACCGTATCCCACGGCCCCCATACTTGTCCTGCATGTCTTGGTTCATACTTGGGTTAGAAGCTAGGAGTGGAATTAGGAGTAACTTGTGTCCTTTCTCTCTGCTTGAATCCCAAAGGATAGCCAGTGGGTCCTGGCAGATGCACTTTAAGTAGTTTTGTATTAAAGAGATCTTAAGGGACAAATTCTCCATGTTCTATGAATGTAGCCTGGCCTGGACTTGGTAATTACCCTCCCCTGCCACCGTCCTCTCTTCCCCACCCATCCAAGCTTCTCTTCATGCAGAGTCCTCATGTGTGCATAGTTTCTTGAACTACAAAGGACCATGACTCAGCTGTGTGCCACCAATTTTGAACCTTTGGGCCTGCTAGGTTGAAATAAAGAAGAAATATGATCTGAAGACCAAGCCAAAAAAAATACCAGAACATTCCTGAAAGTTCCAGTAAAGGAACTAGCGGATTTCAGGAAGACATATCAGATCCTGGATATCCCCTATCACCAAGCTTAGACTTCGTACTCTGAAGTATCAAACCATCCCATCTGTGGAACTCTGGGGGGAGAAGCAAAGAGAAGCAGCACTCTGCTAAGAGTCCAGAGCAGGAAGAAAAAGGTGGGTGGGACCATGCCCACAGCTTTGTACCTGGATGCTCCTTTTATGAGAGATGGATTTTATGAAACCCACTCTGCTTTAGGTACCTCCCTCATAACTCGGGCAGGAAGTCAGGGTGAGACAGCAACAGAGTGTACAGCTAAGGACGGCGTGCTGAGGACAGGCCTGGAAATGTGAACAGGTGTCAGTTTGCTGGGAATGGGTCACCACTACCCCCCTGCAGGCTTGCCCTCCGCCCTTCTCCATCTGGCTCTCCGCTACGCCACTGGCTTCACTTGCCTTGGCTTCTGGCTGCATGTCAGACTGGAGGTAGAATAGGAAGGAAGGGTAGTTCCCTTCAAGCCAGAGTCGCTGCTGTCATGAAGGACATTGAAAGATCCACAGGGCTTGCTACTGAATTCCGGTTTCAGTTCTTTCCTGTCTCATGCCTGGCCCTTACTGTATGCCTCCTGCACCTCAGTCAAGCCTCTGCAGTGGACACCTTCAGCTCTGTTGAAATGTTTCCTTCACGCTTGTTCCCCTTACTGGTATGCCCCCAGCCTTTGAGATAAGATTTGAAAAATCGTTTTTAATCCTTTGGAATTTTCACATTTCTTTTCTTTTCTTTTCTTTTCTTTTCTTTTCTTTTCTTTTCTTTTCTTTTCTTTTCTTTTCTTTTCTTTTCTTTTCTTCCTTCCTTCCTTCCTTCCTTCCTTCCTTCCTTCCTTCCTTCCTTCCTTCTTTTCTTTCCTTTTTTTTTTCCCCAGGACAGGGTTTCTATGTGTAGCCCTGGCTGTCCTGGAACTCGCTCTATAGACCAGGCTGGCCTCAAACTCAGAAATTTCCTCCTGCCTCTGCCTTGTGAGTGCTGGGATTCAAGTGTGCACCACCACCAAAGTTCCACATGTTTCTACAGTGTCTCCTGCTTACAGTTTTCTGGGACTGCTTGTCCGATTAGCCTATGGGCTCTTGCATAGCAGTTATTCCTTCGTTAATCTCAGCTTTTCTTTTCCTACCACTCTCTTGCACTATGTCTATTCCCAGAGTTTCTTTGTTCTCACTAAAAGATGTCTTTTTCTCACCACTGACACTTTTCCATTGGCCCTAGCTTGTCATACATGATCTGACTGGAACCTTCTATTCTCAATGCAAGCCTGCCCCAGGGCCACCCAGGGAAAGGCTTAGGGTCCATTTCCACTTGGCGTGTGGCCATTCTTGCCCTACTGGTTCTTTGCCACAAGGACAGCTGTTTTCACGGAAGACTTTTCTGCCAAGGGTCCAGAAGTTTAGAGTTTCACATTGGGGTCTGCTATGTGCAGCTTTAGAAAAGACCCTGAATATCTGTCTGCCATAATTTTCAAGATGGTAAAATGAGGCTAACACGACACTAACTTTACAGGGTTTTTTTTTAGAATAAAAATGAGTGCAGTGTTCTATAAAATTCATGCTATTTTCCAGGAGGCACAGCAGTGTCTGTGAACAAACCTTCTCCACCTCTACCCTACAGTGATCAGCTTCTAAGGCCAACATTTCATTAGAACTGAGCCAGATTGTAGTTTTTGGAACTACTTTGTGCCAGGAGCTCCCCTAAGCACCATGTTTGCCATCTGATCTCCGTGAGGACAGTGTGTGGCAAAACATTACCGATGAGGAAAACGAAGGGCATAGGGAAAGAAGGAGATCCAGGTCAGGACTCAGAGCCGAAGCTGTCACCCAGGGTCCAAGCTGAATTTTTAGCGTTAATCTTGTCTTTGAAGGCCAGAACATCCTCTACAGCCAGGCTAGCCAAAACTAGTTGGATCTAAGATGCTTCCAGAGTGATGACCAGACAACCTCAAAATTCATTATAACCTGAATCTATATTATTCATGACATACCCACCAGCTGCCATGACTACCACACCATAGGAGGAGGCAAGTCTTCAATATTCCTTTTATCAGTCTTCTTATTTTTGAAAACCCTGTGTGTATGATGTTCCCACTTCAGACAAGGTAAACCAATCACTTCTGAGCCTAGACTCCTCAATTCTCCATTCTCTGACATAAACAGATGTAGGCCCCTGGTGCACAGCTTTGGTTTTTCTCTTTGCTTTTATGATACCCAAAGGAAAAAGATCTTGTTTTGCGGGGGGTCTCCCCCATTTTGAGAGGGGGCAAGGAAGTTGTTGGAAGCAAAACCCAGGAAAGCTTGACTCGATAATTTTACTTCATGGTCTTACTTATGTACAACCCCTGTGACATTCTGTAAAGACACATCAGACAGATGACAACTGACTACAAAGAATATGAAATGTTAAGTAACTGAAAACTTGCATTCTTGTTAAAATTAAAGAGCCTTATAATTACCCTTAGGTAGTGTGCATTCCACCTCTTTCCCATGGGAGGGGTACTTGACCTTAGCATGACCTAGAACATTCATCTCATCTAGAGAGGGACTCACCTGAACTTAAGGCATTCTCCACTTCTTGCATGATCAGGAAGGGGGTGGTGGTCTCAGACTCACAGGACACTCTGTCATGCTCAGCATCTTGGGGTGATTTCTCCTTGGGCGCCGGCTCAGTCGTAACATGGGAAGTGGGTGTCTGACTAGAGCTGGGCCCCTCTGTTGCGGACGTGGGTGCCGTTGGAGCTCCTGTGGACTGGATGCTGGTCACAGCGGAGCTGTTGTTAGAGATGCTGGAGGCAGACAGAGACTCCGGTGGGGAAGTTGCCTGGAATGTGGATGTTGAGGTTGGAGCCTGAGAAGAAATGAGCATGGGTGGCTGGGGTGTAGTGGTTGGCACACTTGCTTCAGAACTGTTGAGACCGTGCTCCTTGGGAGTGGGTGTCAAGTGGACATCGCTGCTCGTTGGGGAGAAGCTGGCAGGTGACTCTGTGTTGCTGCCGTTCCACTTTGAAGCTGGGCTGGTGACAGCCTCTTCTCTGGGGACCGTAGAAATGTTCTTGGAGGGCTGAGATGTCAAGGATGCAGCAGCAGTGGAGAGAACAGACGCGTTGTGAGTGCCACCGGCCAAGGGGGTGCTGGCTATGGTAGTGTTCTGTGCAGAGGTAGTCAAGGTGGCTGGAGAGGGGGACGTTTTTGTCATGAGAGAAACAGGCACTGGGGTCGTTGTCAGTGAACCCTGTACCCTCAGTCCTATGAAAGAAAGAGTCAGGATAAACACAGTTAATTGTATGAAAACCATATATACATGCACAATTGCACAGCTGATTTACAGTGTAATTCCAGGTATTTTTCTCTTTTTTCCCCCACTGTGCAGGTGACATTGAGGCGTGAAAGTGACATTTAAAACCTACTCTTCTCACTTATCTGTCGCCTTGACTTGGGACTCCCAGTAGGAACTGGCCCGAAGCTCCCTCCAGAAGAGCAATTAGCGGGTCAGTCAACTCAAGACTTCAGGTGGAAAGAAATACTCTTGTCTCCTGCTGGTTTAAATCACCATCCTTAGGGGGTGAGGCCCTCTGCAGAACACCCCCCCCCGGCATTTGCCTGCATGACTGCATAACAGCTGCACACTGGGGATGCCAAGGGTGTGTACGTGTGTGTGTGTGTGTGTGTGTGTGTGTGTGTGTGAGAGAGAGAGAGAGAGAGAGAGAGAGAGAGAGAGAGAGAGAGAGAGAGAGAACAGTAAAATCAGTGCTTGGTGACTGGCAGGAGGAGGTGGGTAGAATTTCAGAGGGGCCTCTGTGGGCCCTGCTCCTATTTCAAATCCTGAAGAGCCATGGAGAGCCTGCCCCCTCCCTCTATCTTCCTGCCTTTCTGTACCCCGAGGCAGGGCTTGGTGGCTTTAGAAGCACATTCCCATGGAAGGAAGAGGAGGTTTAGAATAAAGCCCTCATGTATGGTTTGGGAGTATCATGAGTTCTAGATTGGTATTCTTTACAATCATGATTTTGCCAAATCTTCCCCTTCAGATTTTGTAAAGTTTGGAACTAATTCTTCCCCTCAACCTTGCTCCTACCCTCCATTGAGTTAGCCATTCACTTAATTCTTCATTCATTAAGTTTAAGCAAGGACTTCTTGGAGTTAGTCTGGCAGGCACTGGGCTCATCGTCCCACTCTGTGTAGCATGCCTCTTGATTGCCTCTGTACCTTCCTCATCTGCCACCTGGCTTTGCCTTGTCATTTCCATCACAGTATAGGGAATCCCAAATGCAAAGTTCTCAACTGAAAATAGATACGCCAGCCTTTGTCCCTCATACCCAAATTGAGTTCTCAGTCAGTCACTCCCTTGAACTGTAACCTGATACACCCGCTTTCTTCATAATCATCTCAACACCCCGAGTTAACAGCAGGGGCCTCTTAAAAGGCCTCTTGGCTTCTGGGTTTCGCCCAGAAGAAACCTCTGTGCGCTTTTCAGACACAGCCGAGAAAATCTTTCAAGTAAATCTTAAAATCTTTGAAGGTGTTTGCTCTTTTTTCTTTTCTTTTTGTTCATGGCAAGGTTTCACTATGTAGCCCAGGCTGACCTGGAACTCCAGAGATCCACCTACCTCTGCTTCTTGAGCACTGAGGTCAAAAGTGTGTGCTATCATGTCTGGTTTCACTTTTCAGCTAATCAAAACACTTCAAACGCATCCCGTTGTACTTAGAACGAAATCAGAAAGAGCCCGTGTCATCTTAGGTTTTTCTCATTGTGATTAGCTTTGACTCAGAATCACCCCAGAAGCTCTTCTCAGACGATTCTAATTAAAATCATCCCCACCCCAGCTTCACATCTCTCTTTTTAAAGAGTAAGAAAGACTGCGTGGTAAAAATCATAGCCAGTGTTTACCGTCTTAACAATCTTTGTGTGCATCTCACGGCTTTAAGTTTATTAACATTGTCTCGGGGGGTCACCATCCATCTCTACAACCTTCTCATTTTGTCAAGTTCCCCTCCCCTCACTCTTTGCAGCTCGTGCAAAGGGTCTTTCTATATTCCGTGTAAACTGATCATTTAGGGGTCTCATGAAAGTTGAATCATATAGGCTTGGTCCTTTTAATATACATTTATTTCACTTATCCTAAAGTCTTCAAATCTCACCCATGCAATAGCATGTGCTAGAATGCCCTATGTATTGTTACCTATCTGTCCGTCCTATCTATCTATCTATCTATCTATCTATCTATCTATCTATCTATCTATCTATCATCTATCTATCTATCTATCTATCTATCTATCTATCTATCTATCTAATCATCCATCACCTATCTATCTATCTATCTATCTATCTATCTATCTATCTATCTTTCTAATCCATCCACCCATCACCTATCCACCATCCAGCCATATATCTATCTATCATCCATCCATCCGTCCATCCATCCATTTATCCATCCACCCATCTATTCCACCTTGTGTTTATCAGCTTATCATCCGTCTTTTGGCCATTGAGAAGACTGTTGCCATGGACACAAGTACAAGTGTATAGAGATCTGCTATCTTCCTGCTTTCAGTTCCTTTGGGTATCGACCCAAGAGTGAGATTTCTGGGTCATAGGGTTCCTCTTTAACTTTTTGAGGAACTGACCTACTTTTTTACCTATTTTTTTTTGTGTACTTGTATCTCTTTTTGGAGTTACTTATTTTCATTTGTACCAAAATGTAAGCTTAGAAGGGTACAAAGACATGGGATTATTTGTTGTGCTTTACCTAAGGACAATGTCCAGGTCACAGTAAACACTAAATAAGTACTTGTAGAAGACAGGCAGCAAAGAAGGAAGAGAAAACCAAATGCTTAAAGCCTTCCTTCCCAAGGGGCTGGAGATAAGGCTTGGGGATTAAGAACACTGACTATTCTTCCAGAGGACTCAGGTTCGATTCCCAGCACCCTAATAGCAGCTCACAACTCCCCGTAAGCCCAGTTTCAAGGGGATCTAATGCTGTCTTCTGGTCTCCACAGGTACTGCATGCATGGTGCACAGACATACACGTGGGCAAAACAGTCATATATACATATATAAAGATAAAACAAAATCCTTTCTTCCTGACTAGTCCAATGTCATCTCATCTAGTCCACATGTCATTTCGCTAGTAGGTGACAACTGCCTGTCTGTTATTATTTGAGGGCCACATCTTTGCTTCACTCTGTCTTTCTGCCATAATATAAGCCTATAATATATTAGGCATTAATATATTAGGTCCTCAACTATCTACCCTACATCCATGAGGAGTCTCCTCTTAAGAATTCACAGTGGTAAGGGCAAGCCTAAATAGTGTTCAGAAAGAGCAGGGCAGGGGCTGGATACTAGCCAAGAAAGGGAGAGGAGACCAGATGGGAGGCATTCTGGGCATCCCGATAGAATTTGCCACCTTGTCTGATGCCTTGTGACAGATTCAGGGGCTAATGGCATATGCACTACAGAGCCTACTCTGAACTTAACATTTGGATGTCCTTAAACATGACTGGTTTAATTTTACTTTAAAAGCATTGGTCAGAGGCTAGACTGAGTGTTAGGGAACTTGTGACTGGCAACGAAATAATGTTTTAAGGAGTTGGCTCTGAATGTGGATGGTGACACAATTGCTTCCTTAGGAAATAAGAGGACAGCCCTCCAAACTTAGGCTACACAGAAGTCCAGGCTGTTATGGTGTATTCCAGTAGCCAAGGAATCTTTGACATGGGTATTAGTGAAGTATGGAATATTTGTATGTTACTCTGGAGCTTACTGCCTCCATATCATGGCAGCGCCCATGGCTGACTCAAGACATGGCGGAGCTTAAACACACTTCTGAGCTTCATAAATGGGCAGATAGAGATCGTCAGCCTCAGCCTGGAAGTCGGGTCAAAGGTAAATGAGGGCTCACCAAAAAGAGCACAGATTCATTCACTCCTCGTGAATTAACTCACTAATTTATCCGCCATTCATTCTTCCATTTACCATTCACCTCGTTCATTCATCATCCACTCAACTCATTTTTCCCAATGCTGGCTGAGTAGTTTCTCTGTTCACAGTTCTGTCTTCAGAGTTCACTGTAGAGCAGGACAGAAACCATACCCAACTTCCTACTAACGTGATGTTATAAGTGCTTTATAAAAGTAAAGCCAAGGTTCACTTGAAGCCTCAGAGAAAGATTAATAAATTCTGCACTACAGGATGTAAAAATATCCAAATGTCATTTTCAATCGACATTTAGAGAAGTCACGGAAGAGATAACATTTGAGCTGTTCATAAAATGATAATAATTGTACACGATGCCACCTAATATATCTGTTGTTTAGGATGACACTTGCATTGTTATATCCAGCAGGGCCAAAAGCTATTCTGTTATATTGTTATAGGTCGAAAAATGGATGCTCCAAGCGCTGGTTTGTTGCTGGAGACTTCCGCTTCCTTGTGCAATTCTTACTAATTTACTTTTCTGTTCCCATCCTGCCTGCTTCCAGAGAGATCTGGAGGTGGTCGTCTGCTTCCTATGGCTACCAACTTTGTACTTATTTCAAGTACTTTATGGTCCAGCTCAGGCAATTTCTAACCAAGCAACAATACACAAAATTGTATGACAATGTTGGGCACCATGACTCGCATAAGATATTAAAGACTTAGCTTTGCTATATTGTCTGTATCCCATTGCCCTGCCTACCTAAAGGCAGATCTTTTACTAGCATAAAACACCCCAGATGAACATACTATGACCATCTTGGAGACTGTCATATGCATTTGTTTTCTGGGTGGTGGTGGTGACAATAACTAACTTGTAGGCTGAGTATTTAACACAATGCATCTCAGTTATAGAAGGTGAGAAGCCCGATGTCACTGTGCTAGGCAATTCAGTTTCGGATGAAGGACACTCGTCCTGGTCTATAGATGGTCATCAACTAGATGTTCTCACGTGCTTTTTCTTTAGGAATTTTGGTGGAGCATGGAATGGGGAGAGACAGCATGTCTCTCTCTCATGTTCTCTTATTTTTTCTTGTGTGTGTGTGTGTGTGTGTGTGTGTGTGTGTGTGTGTGTGTATAGTTTTGAGACTGGGTCTCACTTTGTAGCCCAAGTTAACTTAGAACCCGTTATCTCATCCAGGGCAATCTTGAACTTCTGGACTGTTCTTCCATCTCATCTTCCTGAGCACTATGATGTCCTTTATAAGGACATGAATTCCATCAGTAGGAGCCCCCATTCTCTCAAGACCTCCCCAACCCTAATTAGCTCCGA